TACATTTAAGTTTGTTACTATTGAGATATGTTTACCAATTCCAGTAATTTTATTGGTTGTTTTTCTGGTTGGTTGGATTATTTGTCCTTTTCTTCCTTGTGTATATATTAGGCAGAAGCTGGTTTCCTGAGCTGAGGAGTTCTGATGTTTTACAGCAGTGATTTTCAACCTTCCTAATTCTGATCCACCAACTATAAAATTATTTTGGTTGCTACTTCATAACTAATCTTGCTACTGCTATGAATTGTAATGTGAATATCTATGTTTTCTGATGGTCTTAGGTGGCCCCTGTGAAAGGATCCTTTGACCCCATAGGTTGAGAACCACCATTCTAAAGGAACCTTGATGCCTGGCTTTTTCATATCCTTATATTTCTAGGTTGCAATTTGTGCATATGGTTGCTTCAATACATCTAATTTGGGGTGATTTCTTATTGAGAAGTCTATTTTTATTTTCAAGCTTATATATATATATATATATATATACATACATACATACATACACATATATATATATATATTACATGGAATATATCCCCCATGCTCTTCTAATCTACTTGAAGGCCCACTAAGATTATAAACAAACTGTTGTAAGAGCAAAATGTGGAAGACACAGGAATATACTTAAAATTGACTAAGGTCATCTACTCTATCACCAATAGAAAAAACAGAACCTGGAAAAACTAAGACAAATGTTCTATGAAGATAAAAATTATTTAAGGCAATTGTGTAAATAATGAGTAGGAAAAAGAAAGGAGATGAGGAAGGAGAAAATAAAGGAGAACCAAGTTTAAAATAAAAGAGGAGAGGGAGAGTGGCAGAGAATGTTGTGGAAGGAAAGAGAAAAGAATGAAATGCCAGGAATAAGACAGGAAGCAACCAAAAAGAGAAGTAATGTAAGCAAGACAAAGAAAATTAAAACATGATCTTCAAAATGAAATGAAAATGGTACTAAGAGTAGAGCAGACTGCAAAAGGGGGAACATGGCTCAAAGGAAAAAGAGAAACAAAAGGGAAGGAAAATAGAAAAGGTTGGTCAATAAAAGTGAAAAAATGCTTAAATGAAATTAGATAATTGTACAAGGAAGAATTAAAAGCATAAATATTTTTAATGCAGTAAAACACAAATACTACTAAACCACAGCAATAACAATAAAGAAGGTAAGCACAAGGAACTAAATAAATTAATATTAGAGTGTCTTACTCCTGGGATGCAGAGCCTTGGTGACTTCCTATTATGCATAGTGGGTGTAGGGTCAATTGAGCTCCCAGACTCTTGACTTCCTAAGTGTCACTTGTACAGAGTCTATATTTGACCAGTGTCTGATGTTTCCCAGAGCTGTCTTCTCTTTAGTTTCTCCCCTTCTTCAAATACCAGGGATCTCTACTGCCCACACCTAGCTGTGGATTCTGTAAGTTAGACAAGTTCTCTCCACATCCCCAAATTCTCCAAACATCTCCCCTAACTGGGGGATATCTCTAAAGCTCATTGCAAGTGTGGGAAACAATAATGGCACTGACATTTATGTAGCTAAAGGACCTATCCTTGTACTTCCAGGATCTTCTGTGTACTGATCACTCACAAGGAGGACTACATCTCAGAGTTCTTGGGCTATTGAGAAGTAGATAGAAGTGACAGTGGTTCTGGAATTTGACCCATCTGCTGACTTAGGCTGAGGGCTATCAACTCCAGTGTTACTTTGTTGGGCCACAACCACTGAGGACTCTGAACCTCCTACATCCTGCACTGTTTCAGCTTGCTGATGCATAGCCCCCCACCTCTCACAACTGCCTGATAAGGTTGTCTCCGACTTTGGGACTATGGTAGGATAAACTCATGCTTCCTGTCTTGTGATTCCTTGATTACTGAGAGCCCAGGATGGCTCCATTTTAAATGATGTGTTCCCTCTCAAGACAGTTCCCAGCCCCTGACCTTTGAGTCATATACAGTGGCAAAATGGATTTGCTCTCCATGGTTGGACCATCCCTGAGAGGAGTTGCTATCTTACCAAAATTAACAACTTGATAGAGACCTGTGAGGGTTGTAGATGTGTCCTGAAGGTAGGACTACAGGCCTTTTCTTGCCAGAGCCATCTAGCTGTCTTTGATTGAGGTTTCTGTTTCCCCTCCACCAAGCAGGAAGTTCAATGGCTTGAGCTGTGTATAACTCTTTCTTTGTACATAACTTTATCTGTTTCTTAGCATCTTTGGGGAGTTTTATCAGCACTTTTGTGAACTTCTGAAGCTCTTTCTTTCCTTGGAGTCATGCCTATTCTTCCATGCACTGGTTCTTCTCCCTCATGCGGTAAAAGGGTGGTAACTTATAGCCCACCATCTTTACCCAGAAATTTAAGTCAACTGCCTGCTTAAATTCTTATATATTATTAGAAAGGGGTAAAACATGGCAATAGTAGCCATTACTTACTGTATAGCAGACACTGTTCTGAAGATATCTATCTATCTATCTATCTATCTATCTATCTATAAAATGATGAGTGTTGTGTGTGTTTGTGTGTGTGTGTGTGTGTGTGTGTGTGTGTGTGTGTGTGTGTGTGTAATTTAGTTCATCTCCAACCCTATGAACTGAGTGTCATCATAATGCCCATTTTAAAGATAAAAATACTTGAGGTAAAGCAAAGTCTATGTACTTGTTCAAAGTTGTGCTGTTAACATTTACAAAGCCAGGGTTTTAATGTAGACAATCAAACATTGGAGTTCATGCTCACGCTGTGTCGTGCCTCTCCTCTAAGCCACATCATCTCACCACATTCTAAGTATTGTGCATATTCATGTCTTTAGGTCTTGAAATAAATAGTGAAACAGGAAGAAGAGTGATGGAGATAAGAACGGTTTCTCTCTCCTGGACTCTTTCCATCTACTCTTCTCTCTTGGTTTCATGACCCTGAGTAGAATTCTAACTTCTCTATACATGAAGAAGGAATGCAAAGGGTTCTCTATGAGAGAAGAGTCCTAAGGCAGCTTGAGTATTCATTCAGGAGCTCTGCCAAAGCACAGCCACTCTAGTCAGAGTTGGCATGATGAGGCTGGATTACACTGAGAATAAAGGAAGCAGTAACACAAACTTTACCGTTATTTTGTTCTGCTTTGCCTGGGCCATAGGATTTCCAGACACCTGGAAGAGATATTACTTGACAATGTGTCTGTGAGAGTGTTTCCAGTCAAGATGAGCATTTGAAGCAGTAGACTGAGTTAGAAGTTGACCACTGGGGTGGAGAGATGGTTCAGTGGTTAAGAGCACTGGCTGCTCTTCAAGAAGACCTGGGATCAATTCCCAGTGGAAGCTCAGCACCATCTGCAACTCCAGATACAGGGAATCCAACCCAGAGACATTGCATACATGTGGTGCACAGAAATATGTGTAGGGAAAATACCCAATACATATGAAATTTAAAAAAATAACATTTTAATGATACAATTATTTTATTTTTTGTAATTGTTTATTAGTTCAAACTAGGAACAATCTTGCTTCACATGTCAATCCCTTTTCCCTCTCCCTCCCCTCCCCCACCTGCAAAAGAGAAAAATAACATTTTTAAAGATTATAAAAATATATTTGCCATTGTCCATTGGACATCATCCAATCCATTGAGGACCTAACTTTAATAGAATGAAATGATGGAATATAGCAAATTTGCTCTCTGAGCTGGCACATTCATTGTCTCTTGCCCTCAGATATCAGCACTACTGTATTTCTGGCCTTCAGACTCACATAGGGCTTTATGACACAGCTTCACAAGATTTTAGAGGCAAAATGTCCTATGACCTGCAGACTGCTAGCAATGGCCTAGGAAAAGTTCACGGTCCTAGTCCCCATATAAAGACTTTAGATCACCAGTATTGGAGACAAAAAAGGTAAACACAAGCTCAAAGAGAGCAAACTTTTCCAGCGTTCACCTTCTACCTCTATCTAAGATCTCAACAGATGTGTACCAGTGATGGCCAAAGTCTTGACTCACTGTACCATGGCCTCCTCTGGGAACATGCACAGAAACATATCTAGAGCAATGTTTTACTAGCTATCTGGACATCCCTTGGTCAAGTCAGAGTTACCTACAACATTAACCATGACATTGGCTAAAAATGAGAGTTATACAGATATTTTAATTGGAAAAAAGTAAATCCTTCCTGTGTATTTTAAGTTAACAGACTAGGAAGCATTGAGATATGTACTTTCTCACCCAGAGAAAATGTTCTATAGTGTAGATACTTGAGGAAGCATATACATTTTAAAGTCTGATGTGGTTTTGCTCATTCTAGGTGTTTGCTATGAGCATGGCTGAGCTATCTATTTTAACTGGCCAGTTGGAAGCTAGAAGTATTCAGTAATCAGAATGACTGGGGATAATGCCAGTTTGGAACTGTCTTTTATAAACTACAATACATCACTCCCCTGTTTTCTTTCACTTGGCATTTTTGTGCACAGTCCCCAGAGTGATACTTTGTGCCCCGATGTCCTAGGGCCAGCAGAACTGTGCCCTTTGAAAGGCATGGTGAAAGCTAAAGATCCAGATATCTTGTCAGAGAAGGTGTGACAGGCACAGAGCCAAAATCATGAACTCATGCTCTCTGTACACAGTCATGGTGTACTATTGCCCCAGCCCCAAGTTAAACACACCCCAAACTCTTCTCTGGCCTCACCTTTTCTAGACACAGAGTACGTTGCTAGATGCTTAAAGGGCTCTCTAATTCCTTTTCAGAACCTTCCAAGCTTGTGACCAGTTCATCTTCCATTAACATGTGGCTGAATATGTCATTCAAATCTGTTCAAAGATAGTGGAATTGAGGCCAATTAGTGAACCTGAAAAAAATACCAGGTCACCAGCTCTCTTCTCTCCATCTGGAAAAACCAGGCTGTTCAGAGTGTAGTGAGAATTCCTGGAGGGTGTGGAGTTGTTTTATGACTCCATGGAGACCTCCCTCCTAAGTTTCAGGGTGATGCTAACATGCTGTACCCTTTGGTCTTGCCTTCCATGTACCACAGGATCGATAAACAAATAAGCAGGTTCCGGAGATGGTTACCTAAGAAGCCAATGAGGCTGGACAAGGAGACACTGCCAGACCTGGAGGAGAATGACTGCTACACTGCCCCTTTCAGCCAGCAAAGGATCCATCAGTGAGTGTCTGTGGGAAAGCCTGCATCGTTCTGAGGATGTACAGCATGGTAGAGCCTTTCCTGAGGGAGTACCAATGTAGAGCCCATTCCTCCTGAGCCTTTTGTTCATGTTCCGTTTATATCAGTCATGGGAGAGCTGTATCAAAAATCCCCCTATCTCAGGTGGCTTAAAGTGACCCAATGTTCTTTCCTATGTGTGTTTGGTGACTCGTCATCCCCATGGTGATTCAGAGACCTAGTTCTTTCTGTCCATGGCTCTGTCTGTTCCCTGTACTCAGACCCCAGACAGAAGAAGTGGATCATGTTTTCCATACTGAATGAAAATGTGGTTTGTTTGCTTGCTTTTATTGAAGTTTGCTGCTTGGTTCTCCTTTCCTTCACTAGTTCAGCACATTACCAAAGGAAGAGCTACATTCCCTGGCAGCCTACTTGCCAACTCATCTATTGGTCTCACAACAGTGAGTTGTCACTTTTGTCACATGGGCAGAAAGTTGGCTGAGTAACTTAGCCTGGAAAGACTTGCAGAAGTGATCAAGAATTTACTCTGAATTTCCTAAGAGGACAAGGAATGATGGGAAGAGGCAGAGTAGGGGATGGCAGAGAAAAGCGTATCAAAGACTATAAACAACTAGGGAGAAAGCAGCCTCCCGAAGAGACCATTGATCAAATCAGCCCAGCCTATACTGAGACAGACTGGGGAATCCCTAGCCTTCCTTGTGCCCAACCTGGTGATGACTTCAGTAAAAATGACTTTCCAGAGGAATGGAAAGGGGTGTCAGATTGTTTTAGAAACAGGTTGCCAAATCTGATTTTTAAAAAAAAAAATGTAAACCAAATGGCAGTTGTCCAGAAGGTGCAGGGAATGCAAGGTGAACGCATGTTTTAGCAACAGAAAAATCAATTAAACTCTGGGAGCCAAGGAGAGAAGAAAAACGGTGTATAGGTGGTCTGCATTGAAATGTGCTGTGCTGGTGAAGATCGATGTAAGACAAGTGAAGCCACAGGGAAGTCTGTGAAACAGGCAAGCACTGCACCCCCGTGGGTCTGATTGATGCCAAGCCAATCTCATTACTTGAACATATAAAACATGAAGCTCACAGTCCAAAAGGCCTCAGTGGAAATTAGTAATCTGATGGTACTCAATATTAATCTGAAGATGAGAATCTATGGGTGTTTTCTCAAGACAGATATGGAAGCTGATGTGCTTCTGCTTTTAATTTAAATCCTGCAGGTCTTTTTAGACCACTAATTGATGTTTTATCCTTTGTGAGTGGAAATTGGCTTACTGTCACATTTTACTTGCCTTGCACGGGGTAGGAAGAGCTCAAAGTTTTGGGATAATGGATGCATACATGGGAGGGTGGATAGAAGGATAGGGTGGATGAAGGAGTGGAAGGACAATGAGTGGATAGAAGTAGATTGGGTAATCAGTGAAGTAGGATACTTCACTGGAAGTTTTAGGTTATTTTAAGGGAGTAGAGCAAGAATGGGATGGAAAATGTATCGCCACCATCTTCTCACCTGCTGTGTTCCAGATATCTTTGCTGTGTGACAGTGTTATTCAAGTCTCTAACTTAGATGCATCTGCATCCCAGTCAGTATCACTAGAGATCATAAATGATAATAATATAAGTATAACATATAATAAACATATAAGTATTTTTAAATATAGAACAATTAAGGTACGATAACACATGAGGGTAGTGGCATTCAGCTTTCTGACACATTTTTGAGGCCTTTCAACACACTTGCAAATCAGTTCAGTGAATAAACAATTAGTTCAGCTGTCACAAATTCCATGTCCAAACCTATCTAGGCATTATCTGAGCATAAGCCAAATAAAACAGTCCTGAATCTAGTATGGTAATATACATTGTGGCTTTAAATAACTGCAACTAGTCCAGTAGATGCACATAAAGGGGAATGGCAGTGCTCCAGATTTGGAAAGATATTGGTAAGTGATGAAAGATGATTACTAAGAAAATTGTTCACATGGGTATAGACGTGGCCTATTAGGTAGAGAAGGCAACATATCCTAAGAATAAGAGACTGTAATGTAGACAACACAGACATTGGGCTACGTGGATGGAGTGAATGGAAAACACAATTAGTTTGTTTTCTTTCTTTCTTTCTTTCTTTCTTTCTTTCTTTCTTTCTTTCCTTTTTTTTTTTTTTGGTTTTTCAAGACAGGGTTTCTCTGTATAGCTTTAGAGGTTGCCCTGGAACTCGATCTATAGATCAGGCTGGTCTCGAATCACAGAGATCTGCCCGCCGAGTGCTGGGATTAAAGGCTGCACCACCAACGCCCAGCTCACAAGTAGTTTTCTATAAATATTTCTGTGAATATGGTGGTAAGGTATGCAAAGGGCACAGCATTGTTGTTCAAAAAAGGAGACCAGCCTATAAAAGATAAGACTTGAAGCAGTTCAGCTCAAGAAGAAAAGGAGAGGAGCAGCTGAAATAAACAGAGTTCAGGGGAACCACGAGAACAGAGGCATTTATATCATGCCATTGGGACATGAAAAATTAAACAATGACCTAGATATTATGGGTGATGGGAATTCCTTTCTGTTTGATAATTGTCATGCCACATGGCTAACACCCCTTGGATTAGCGTGTAAAAAATAATAAGATGTGAAGAATGCTGGCTGCCAAGTTGGAAATAATTATTGATATAATTAGAAAACAAAACTCCCTAAAGATGTTTTGAGGATGATATTAATGGGCTTAATTTAATCAGAAACAGCTGTTTAATGAGCTCTGGGAGCTGTGACATGATATCCCAGCTATCGACATGCATACCTAGGATTCATATGATGTGTTGATTTTGCAGAAGTTTCTCCTTGTGTTTTTGCTGGAGTGAAATGGAATGATGGAAATTGTGAGTCATGAATGTGTTAGATAAAGTAGAACTTAAAGTTTGATAAATAATGATCAAAATGGGAAAGTGTCTTAAAACCAAAGACTCAGTAACTCCTACATCTGTCTCCCATACCCGTGCTTAGCCATACTGAGCCCTGACCTCCTTAAGTCACCTTGTACTTCTGTTCCCTCCTACACCGTTCCTCCTCCCACCTGTAATAACCTTTCCCTGAGACTCCCATCTTTCGGGATATACCAGAGTCACTTCTCCTAGAACACTTTCATGTTATCCAGCCTCTACCAGTCGTTCCCAGTACTATGCAGTCTTCCATATCTTGGTAATATTTTTGTCTTTTCCCTTTAAAAATGTGGTATATTTTCTTTTATTATAGTATGTTATAATTGTTTTCTCTCAAACTACAAGTTCCTACCATTTTCAAATCCCATAGTAAGTGCTAACTGTGATTTGCTCAGTGGGGAAGATAAATGGATATGTAAAGCTGACACTAGATCTTGTAAGTGAAGATCAGATGCCGTGTAGTTTGCAAACTGCACACTCACCTCAGACTTCATTCAAGGTCTCCTCTCCACATGGGCCACCAACATCATTCCCCGAGTCAGCACATGGCACTAATGCGTCTTAAGTTGCTGGCAATCGATATCATATTCACTGTGAACTCCTACTATATCTTGATGAATGTGCTCAATACCCTGTTTTTTTGCTGTTTTGAGTTACCGTGTGGGTTATTGCTGGCTGTATTCACCCTGGCTTGTGCTTGTTCACTATCCTTTCCTTGTTCCTGTTCCCCTTTACTCTTCTAGGATTTGGTGACCACCATTCTACTCTCAATTTCTAGAAGACAGACATATAATGAGATCGTGAACTGTTTCAAGTTTCAGAACTCAGCTCCATTTCTTCCTAGAGAGGCCATCCTATCTCCCTGCCTTTCTGTCAGTCATTCTAAGATCAGAAAGATTTGTTCTTTACTCATAGCATTTTTGAGAGAGGGGGAGAGAAGGAGGATGTATGTGGTATGTGCTCATGTGTACATGTGTATTGAAATCAATCTCAGGTATGTTATTCAATTTCCACTTTCCTTTCTGAGATAGGGTCTAGTCACTAAGGAGCTCCCTGAGTTGCCTAAGCTCCAGGGATCTTCCTGTGTCCACCTCCCCAGTCATGGGAATTACAGGTGTGCCCCAACACATGGGGCTTTTTGTGTGAGTTCTGGGATCCAAACTCAGGTCTTCATGTCAAACTACAGGCACTTTACTGACAGACCCCATCCTCCCAACCCAATAGCACAGTTTTTATATATCACTTCACATTTGAAATTTAGCAATTTTCAGCATTTTTTGATGATGTCTCTTCAGGCAAACTGCCAACACTCTGGGGACACAGACCATGTTTTGTTTTGCTCGAAATCATATCTAATCTAATACCTAACATACAATAGGCACTCAACATTTGTTTAGTAAATGAACAGATTAAAGAAAAAGGGAAAAAATAAAGGCAGCACAAAATACAAAACTTTTACACTTTCAATTATTATTGAACAAAAAAGAAATTGAGAATCAGTTTAAGAAAAAATGGGTGGTCTAGCACTGTACTTAAACATGTATTCATAGTTTGCTTTTTTGTGCTTTCTGTTTTTTGGTGGTAAGTGAAGAAAAGCATAACTGATCATGATACTGTAAAATCCAATCACAAGCACCATAGTTTCAGCATTGCCAGACGATTCTAATGGTATAGAAATTTATTGAGATGTATAGAGTTTGGGTCTGGCTAATCTCACTGTGTAATTTTTAAATTACTTATTCCCCTTAATGAAAGTAGGTTTTTTTTTCACATAATATATCCTGATTATGGTTTCCTCTCCCTCTACCCCTCCCAGTTCCTTCCCGCCTTCCCCTGTTTGCATCCACCCCCTTTCAAAACCAACAGGCTTCTAAGGGATAATAATATAATGTGATATAATGTGATGTTATGATATATATTATATCATAATACTAAAACAAAAGCTAACACATTGGAATTAGATAAAACAAACAGGAGGAAAGGAACCCAAGAGAAGACAGTAAAACAGACATACTTCTTCACACACTCAGGAATCCATGAAAACTGGAAGCCATTATAC